CCTGCTTCATTCATAGGACTAGAATTTTTAGGGCAGTGATATTGGGAAATTAGATTTCCTCCTTGCCATTTAAGTGGAAATTAAGTGCCCCAAGCCTGCCATCTACCTTGAGCACAGTTTGTCCTTCACAGTCCATGGACTTCTGTGTATTATAGCCATGGGTAAGATCCAGGGGGAATGAAGAGAAAAGGCAAATGGGCAGTTGTTCCGAGATGAGGCTTCCTGGCCGAGGCTTACATCCTAGGGGAGAGGTTTTATTGAAGTGGATGCTTGAACGATTAGAAAGTTGAGGGCGGCAGCCGTCTGTTTGCCAGGCTGACCCTAACATCAGAAATGCAATGCTTCTATCATAACTTTTCCTTCCCTCTCCCCACTCTTGCGATTCCTTTATCCCCTGCATTGGTCCTGTCCTCTTTGTCTTCCGTCCTTGAGGAGCAGGAACCCAGTCACTCCGAGAGCCACTAAAGTTAGGAAGCACCGACCCAGCAACTGCTTAGCTGCTGCTTTGTCCCAGGAAGCCGACCCAGGCCCTGGCCCCTCTTGAGAGGAGAGTAGGGAGGCATGATGATAAAAATCATCAAACTCCAAGCAGCATGATGGAAACCCTTGTTCCCTGTGGTTAGCAACAGAGGGAGTGGAAGCTCCCTTGGGTGACTCAAACCGGTCAAGGCACTTTTTTAACTGGGTGGTAGGCTGAGGGCATTTAAAGCCCAGAAATGGGGGACTGGTGAGGGTGGAGGTGTAAAACAGCACAGACACTGGGAAGAGCTCCCAGGGCTTTGGCAGAGCCAGAAAACAGGTTTTGTTTGTGGCAGCTGATACAGTAGGGAGGTGTTAAGATAACAGCGGGCATGTGTGCCTTGCGAAGGAGTTTGGTTTCTCTCCTTCAGATCACAGTCAGTCATTGAAGACCCATGTGCTTTCTCATGATCAGATCAGTCACACATCATTGAGGGCTTGGAATGGGCACAACAGAATAAGGGGTCCTCAACTACATTGGTCACCTGTGCCTCAGTGACCTACAGGTTGAGCTGCGTTTGTTCATTTGGGCTTTTGTTTGTTTTTGGCCATGTCTGTCTTTGCTCAGGGCTTACACCTGGCTCTGCACTCAGGGATTACTCCTGGCAGAGCTTGGGACACCATACAAGGTGCCGGGGGTTGAACCCGGGTCAGCTGCATGTAAGGTAAGCGCCCAACGGGATGTGTTCAGTTCCTTATTCAGGCGTGTGTCCAGTTTAAAGACTATTCCTTTTTTTTTAAATTTAAATTTATTTTCATAAAATTATTCACAATAATTTGTTATATTTAATATTCCAACACCAATCCGACCACCATTATTCCTTCCCACCACCGTTTTTTGAATGTTTCCACTCCAGCCCCCAAACCCTGCCTCCAAAGCAGGACCTCAGTAATTTATTTTGTGTTGCTTGTTATGAATAATCTGCTGAAAATGATCCAAAAGTTCTCCTTAGAGTGTGAAGATTGTTGTATTTCACCCTGGAGCCAGTAACCCTGTTAAAGAATATTTTTTGTGAGGAACCTCCACACTATTTCCATGGTGGTTGTGCCAGTTCATAATCCCACCAACAATGTATAAGGCTTCTTTTTTTTTATTTTTTTGCTTTTTGCTTGAGTACCGTGTGCGATAACTCACTGCGCCAGGGCTGGAGTGATAGCATAGTGGGTAAGATGTTTGCCTTGCATGCAGCCGACCCAGGTTTGATTCCTCCACCCCTCTCAGAGAGCCTGGAAAACTACCGAGAGTATTCTGCCTGCACGGCAAAGCCTGGCAAGCTCCCCATGACGTATTCCATATGCCCAAAACAGTAACAACAAGTCTCACAATGGAGACGTTACTGGTGCCTGCTTGAGCAAATAGATGAACAATGAGAAGACAGTGCTGCAGTGCTTTTTTGGGTCACACCTGACGATGCTCAGGGGTTACCCCTGGCTCTGCACTCAGGAATTACTCCTGGTGGTGCTCGGGGGACCATATGGGATCCCGGGGATTGAACCTGGGTTGGCAGCATGCAAGGCAAACACACTCCCTGCTGTACTATCTCTCCGGCCCAAAGAATATTCTTACATAGTGAAAATCTTTCTGATAATTCACCTCTGGAGGTTTCAATGGGTTTATTTGTTACTTTTTATTTCTTTGGGCTATGGCTCACTGTACTCAGGGGCTTCTCCCAACTGGGAGCTCAGGAGTTACTCCTGCCAGTGCTTAGGGGATCATACAGGGATGGCACCCAGGCCTCTTTAGGACTCTTTTAGAATAACTTTATTAGGTATAGGCTATATAATTTTGCAATAGAGTTACTGTGAGGACTAATTGAATAAACTGTCAAAGCTTTTCTTTGTCTTTGTATTTTATTTCTTGTTTTTTTTGGGGGGGTGCCACTCTGTGTGGTGCTCAGAGACTGTTCTCAGCCCTCTGTTACTCCTGGTGGTGCTTGGGACCATATGTGGTGTTAGGGATTGAATCAGGGTTGGCTGCATGCAAGGCAAATACCTCAACTCCTTTACTGTTTCTTTGGTTCTATCTTTATGATTTAAATTAAGTGATGGTCCATTTGGGGCTAAGTGTGTGATGGAGTATGGCCTTGTGTATGTGGGGCTAAGTGTGTGATGGAGAATGGCCTTGTGTATGTGAAACCCAGTTTTTGGCCCCTGGTGGCTGAAACACGTAACTCCTCAGCATTGCCAACTTTGTTCTCTTGTACAATAAAATACTGTTATATTTTATAAATAGTAGATATTCAACAATTTAAAGTCGTCTTCATAAATCCTGTTTCCATAAACTTACAGAAATGTCTCTGATTTTGGTAGGTGCTAAATAAAACAATGAAGAGATTTTAGAAATGTTAACAGTTATGCTTTCTTCAAACGTCAGATTTAGATTTCATAGAGTTAAATTGTTCCTAGTTTAATCCTTAGTGGTGATAATTTTGGGGAAGTTTGAGAAATAAAATACCTTCTCTGTTTTCTATTCTCTACTCTTGTTCATTCATACTTATCACGTGGCAGTCATTGGTTAACCATGTACATTTTATTTTAATAATTTATGGTCTTGGAATGAACTAGATCTTTATTATAGACTATGAAAATTGACTGATAAACATGGTCTCAAACCTATTGAAAATTAATTAGATAAATCATGTGGGCTACAACAGGAACAGCTATCCTGGGAAATAGTTTACTGGTAACAAATTAGAATTTTGGTGACTAGACTAGAAAGGACATTCTGGGAGGGGGGATTTGAGGGGATTGATTTAAATCCTAGAAGTAGTAAATCTGGGGTCTGAGTCAGGGTACAGCTATCTTGCCTTACCCCTTTCCTTTTGTAGATGAAAATAGTTAGGTTCTCTGTAAATTCATGGTTGAATTTCAGATTAATAAACTTTACTGTTGACGCTTTATTTTTCAAAACAGTGAATCTGTGTGTTAGTGTATGTGTGAAGTATCTTCAACTTTGTGAGCAGGCAAATATACCTGTTACATATGTGCATGTGTATTGTGTATGAGTACAGAGCGTTCATGCATATGTGTGCTGTATAGGTATGCTATAGAGAAGTCACCTTGTCTGAACCTGTATATATACACATATGCACATATATATTATTTTCTGGGTTTATTTGGTGACGTAAACCAGGAATTGGAAACTGGTAAAATGTGGCCATAAATATACATTAGGTGGTTGTCATTTAGTTATGTTAAAATTTTATCTTCCCAATTCAGTTGGAATAATTTCATTAACAGTGCCTTAAGGAACAGGATATATGGTTGGATTTTCTTTTAGAGAATTGCCTAGTCACATCGGATCCAATTAAGTTTTGCATATGTTATCAGTGACATTAAAGGCAACCAACCAAGTGTGGTGTTAAGTAAAATTAGAAAAGTTATTTTAGTGAAAAGTAACTTGTACTAATACATATATATTGAACTCGTAAATGTAGTAAATGTAGATCTTAAGAATGACATTATTTTTATTTAAAGTGTGAAATGATCATAAATTTATTTTTTACTACCTTTAAACTATCTCATTGAAGTTGTCTGTAAAGTTTAGAATTTATATATTATTGTTATGAAATTTGTTAATAAATTTCCAGGAAACAAGTTCAATTATTTTACTTTTTTTTGGCTTTGTTTTTTTGCCACACGTGTTGGTACTCAGGGCTTACTCCTGTCTTTACACTCAGGGATTACTTATGGTGGGTTCAGGGGACCATATAGGATGCTGGGGATTGAACCTATATGTCCACGTGCAAGGCGAGCACCTTACCCTCTGTACTATCAGTCCAGTGCCAGTTATTTCACTTTTGAAAATACGATGACATAGAAATTTTCTGGGCGAAGACCTTTTTAGTTTGTAATCAGGTTTTTAAGTCTTATAATGCTGAAATGAAAATGACTTTTTGTAACTGGTAATGTTTTTTAATTTAAAAATCTATTAGAATATTAAAGTATTCTTAGGTTTAGTGGAAATAGAAATGTATAATAATTTTGTGTTCTATCCTTTTTGTCCAGTATTTAAAAAAGGTTAAAATAAACTCCACTCAGGATTTGAGTGATAATGCCAGGGATTGAACCTGGCATTAAAAAAAAAAACAACAACTTACAGAAGCCAAAGCATCCAGGCAAAAGGAACATAGAGCCTTGGGTTGCTGAGGTTCTGTGAATGCTGGGAGAGAGGTTCTAGTTTAGATGGTGACTCACTGTTCCTGTGATTGAACAGTTTTCTGGCCACTCTCTGGCTATTGCCCTTCATCTGTCAAATGTGCTTGGGATGTGAGTGGACACAGACATAGGTTTTATATTGGTTTTCTTTTCTTCATTGTCCAAGAGAGCTAACTCTGTGATTGGTTGTCTGGTCTCTGCTTAGTTATTCTAAGTGGAGTTTGTTGTTACTTCCTCTATTACATTATTTAGGAATAAATTTCTAACGACTATAAGTCAAGCTGTTATAAATATAACATTTTAATTTATGTTTCAATTTTCAGGTATGCAATACCCCCAGAACATGGAAAACGGCTTGAAAGACTGGCTCAAGGTAAATTTGTTTTTTGTAGAGATGGGCTTATTTGTTTTGTATTTTTATGATGAGAATGTATCTTAATTTTGTTTTTTCAAGTTATTGTCTTCTTTTTGTGCTTGGTTTTTGGTCTTGAGGCCACACCCAGTAATGCTCTGGGGTTATTCTTGGCTCTGCACTCTGGAATCATTCCTGACCAGCCTTGGGGGAAATACCCCAGTTGGTTGTGTGCAAGGCAAACACTTGTATTGTTTCTCCAGCCCCCCGTTATTGTCTTTTAAAGTTTCTCTAATTGAATAATTAATATTTCTCATATTAATATTTTACATTAATATGTAAAAATTTTCCCACTACTGTAATTTCATGGTTATCTAATTTTGCTATTTAGTATTTCATCAAGTGATTGCATTTAACCTATTTTGGTTATTACCATTAAAAAATTAAATTTAATATCATTATGCTGATATATTTTTCCTTTTTTAATGTTACATTCTTGGGATAAATTCCAAAAAGCTCTGATGTTGCTGCTCAGGGCGCAAGTGCATATGAGTACTTTGTGTTGCCAGATTGTTCCATCCTCCTAGGGTTGTGTTTAATCTCCTTCTGACCTCCTGGGCTGCCGTTTTCCTCAATGGAATTATGAGGGTGAAGGGCCTCAGGTAACTACATAAACATACATAGTACGCCTTCTTAGATGGGCAACGTCTAAGTACCTCATTAACCAAAACTTACTAAAAAATGTTTATGCCTTTCGAATCACTAGAGCCTTAGTGAAGAATTTTGATCTTTATTGAAAATGTCATTTTGGGCCTACTTTTGTTTGAAGATAATGCCTTCCTCTTTTCTGTCTGAAAAATATTCTGCCCTCATCTACTCTCACACAAGAGGGGAGAATCAGATTCATTCCCTGTTAATCTTGTCTCCTCTTTCCCTCGTCATTCTGTTTTTTTCCTTTTTTTCCTCATCGTTCTTACCAAGAAAGAAAGTAGGTTTCTAGTGATTTGCTTACAGGGAAAATTATTGTTTTAATTGAGTGACAACTTAGGATAATATATTTGACCTATATCTGAGATTGAATCCTCAGTGAACATTGCCCTTTTAGTCAGGTGCTGATCTAACTTCATTGGTTTTGAAGCTTGCCTTTTAATAGAAAAGGACTTTGTCCCAGTGCTTTGTATGCTTCAAATTAGTAATAAAATAGTGCCACCAGGAAACCCTATTGTTTGACTTGACAGTTCCTCCCACCTACCCACCCGCCCCCTCCCCCCAAATCATAATGACATCTAAAAGTTACTTTCCTCCAAATTAGAGAAGAGTATTAGAAAGAACAGTTACAGGATTACATTTGTAAGAAGCATTATAATTTTGGTTGGTTAATAACTATAAAGCCTTAGTGTTTTTATAATATAACACAGTATAGTAATAACAGCAATGTAAATGTAATCTTGAACTTTGGTCGGTTCTATTTTATGAATATTAAGGTGGATGAATCCTGGTTCTGGAAAATAGATTGGAGCCCACTTTAGGAAGTGATTACCATAATCCTTAAATACACAGACACTGACCTTTATGCTGAATCTATATGCTGAACTATCCTTTTCTCTATAATAATGATTCTCCCATCTGCCGTTCTCACCATCAGAGAATTTTTAAAATGGAGCCAATGGAAAATTTGAATATGGAGTCCCATGCTCCGATTAACCCTATAAACTGTCAGTAAACTCTTTGATGTAAACTATCCGCAAATGGCTGTCGTTTGTTTAATCAGCAAGAGGTCAATAAACTTGAAGGATGAGCAGGAACTTTAAACTGAATTGCATGTTTATTGAAAACTGTTTCATAGCAGTGTTTTGAGAAATGGCAACAGGGTAAAGATCCTTTAAGACCGCGGAGGATTCCCACCTGCTGACCAGATGCCAGCCAAATTAATTGAATTCTGCTAAATAATTAAAATGATAAAATAATGCAGTAAATGTGATGGAGCATTATAGGCTGTCTAGGTCAAGGCAGCACTTGATACATAAAATGAAAAGCAGCCTCGGATATTTTCCATTATCTTGTCTGCACATCGTAATTATCACACTTGCCTTTTATGCATGAATGCTTTCATCTTTGGTTTCTATTGAAATCTTGATTGACTGTGGCACCTACAAATATTTTATCTGAAAGACATTAGGCCTGCATCTAATAAAGCTAGGAGTTTGATTTTGCCCTTCAGCTGCTTTCTCATTTATGCAGGTTTTTTCAATATTATGTAGACATAAATGTAATAAAAAGTCTGAAGTGAATTGTTGCAGTTTTTTCCCTTGTTATGTTCAGCTATAATGCCATTGCATTCTTTCTAATTTTAAGTTTGATATAATCAAATGGAAAATAAAAAGGAGAATAGAGGTATAATATTAAATCACAAATGACAGTTTTGAAGATTTTCAGTTTTTAGAATGTCTAAATCTCATCTACTTTAGAAATAAAACAGTCTTTACTGTTCTATTAGGTTAAGCAAAATTTCGATTAAGTTAAATTGAAAATGGCTAACATTTTAAAATACTGTATTCCATTGACCTCTTACCATGAATAGAATATTAATCTTTAAAAAAAAATCAAGGTTTTCGTCCAAAATTTGGTTACTGGGGAAAGAATAAAGTGAACTACGAATTTGTACGGCTAATTTTGGAAGTGTGAATGATCAACGGGAATATTTTTTCAAGTAATTGTGTGCAAGAACAGAACACATTGATAACTGTGGGCCACAGTTTCCAAACTTACTTTGCCTATTGCCCCCTTTTCAGAATAAAAAAAGCACTGTGTTTCCCTGAAAAACACCTTCTTTTAACAAAGTGCTCCCAATTTTTGTTTGTTTCTGTTTTGTAAAAAACTAAACACACTGAAGGTTGTGTGCTCACGGGCTCTCTGGACAACTCTGTCTCACAGCCCCCGTTCAGTGCTCTTGAACCACTGTGTGTGGCCTGGATCGGGACGGCTGTTGGCCAAGGGTAGATGAAGGAAGAGCCGAGGCCAGGCTGGTTGGTCTAGTAGCAGTTTATTACAAGGAAGTTTATCCCATAGAAGAAATTTATGTTGTGGAGGGCCCAGGTTCTCTCAAGCACATGTTCCCCTTGCTAGTCTCTCCGAGCTCCATCTTGCAGCCCTGCTCTCTCTCTCTCTCTCCAGCTCTCTTGCCTCCAACTTCCTTGCAGTCTGGGCTGACACTCCACCCAGTCTGGTAGCCAAATCAACATAAGAAAGCCCTCCCTGAGGGCCCTTCAAAGGGAAGGCCCTCTCGTTGATCCTCGATTTGCTTTAGCTGGCCCAGTAACGTCTCCATTGGAGACTTTGTTGTTACTGTGTCTGGCATATCGAATACTCTCGGTAGCTTGCCGGGCTCTCCGAGAGGGGCGGAGGAATCGAACTCGGGTCGGCCATGTTGGCTGCATGCAAGGCGAACGCCCTACCGCTGTGCTAGGTTTTACTTATTTATTTTTCTGGTATTATATTTAAGTGCCTTATAATCTTGAGTTTGATCCTGTGGAGTTTTAGCCTGACGTGCAAGATTTCTTGTTCTGGCAGGTAGATAAAGGTCTGTAGGAGGGAGCTAAGCGTTTTGTGGGCTTTCTGAGATCAAATTTTTTTTTTTCTTTTTGGGTCACACCTGGCGATGCTCAGGGGTTACTCCTGGCTCATGCACTCAGGAGTTACTCCTGGCGGTGCTCAGGGGACCATATGGGATGCTGGAATCAAACCCGGGTTTGCCGCATGCAAGGCAAACGCCCTACCCACTGTGCTATCTCTCCAGCCCCTGAGATCAAATTTTAAATTGGGCGTCTGTATTGGATTCTTGTGGTACCACATCAAATCCTTTAAGAGGGTTTCTAAGAAGAGGTTTTAATAAGCACTGCTATCTAGAGACCAGTTAGAGGGGCTGGAGCAATAGCACAGTGGGTAGGGCATTTGCCTTGCACCAGGCCGACCTGGGTTCTAGTGCCAGCATCCCATATGGTCCTCTGAGCACCACCAGGAGCAGTTCCTGAGTGCAGAGCCTGGAGTAATCCCTGTGTATTGCTGAGTATGACCCAAAAAGCAAAAAAGTAAAAAATAAAAAACAAACAAACAAAGACCAGAAGAGCAGCAGCACATAGCAACTCATTTAAATTTTATGAGCAGATTCAAAAATTGACCAGATCTTATACCTCTGTCTTAGATTAGAAAAATGTACTTTCATCAGCTCTCAAAATGATAAATGTATCATTCCTTTAAGCATTCATTTAGTTGATGGTCTGACAATATTAAATGCCTGGTTTTGAGAAGTTAATAGATAATATATCCTTGCCTATAAACAATCAATTTTAAGGGTTCCCTTAAGCCAATAAAAAAAAATCCAGTGATATATCCTCTGCCTTGATGCCTAACTCATGCTTTAGGCATGACGATTGGGGTGTGGTATGTTAGGGTATGTTTACTTTCACCTATCTGCTGTCAGCTAAGTTTCATTCATGCTACTTATAACAAGCAATAAAAAACAAATTATCTAGCATCTGCCTGTGGGCAGGCTTGAGTAATGGTGGGAAAAATTTAAAATAATGGTGGTGGGAAGGTGTAATGGCGGTGAATTGGTGTTGAAATATTGAGTGTAATCAATTATTGTGAACAACTTTATGAAATGAAACTACAAAAAAAAAAGAAAAAATGTTCAAATGGCATCAAAGAGCTAGGTGGTAGAACTCAGACTTAGCATGTGTGAGACCCTGAGCTTGACCCCCAGACTGCATGACCCTGTAGGGTGTTTCTTTTATATTTAAAATAAAAATGAAAAAAGGTGAAACAATTCCCAAACTAACAGCTCCATAGCTTGGTGTTAGTTTTATGTTAGAAGATTTTTGAATTTTTTATATTCAGCCATGTGCAGTAGATACTAAGGTAGTATATCTTATATGTGGTGTGGAAACAATTCTTAGAAATGACATCACAGTCTTGTTCTTTCCACAGCTAAAATTAGCCAATGATTTGCTTTAAAAAATTTT